TTGAAGAGAAAACTAATTATGGACACACGTATGATTTTTTAAATAGTAGAGTTGACATGTATCCTTCTCCTTAGTACAAGCTCTACATCGGGTTCAATGCAAAATAAAAACAATGATGATCTAATCAAAGTGAAAAGACAATACCCCAAAAATTTGAAATTGTTAAGAGAGCTATTTGAAATAAGTGCTGCTTAAAATAATTACGTCCTGCTTTCAGGATACGTATTACAGTCAAGGTATAAAGACACAGAGTAGATGTATAAAGATCAAATTGATGATAGCAGTTTTCTCCCCAATATTAAAAGATTTGCTGACAAGAATAGATTGATATGAAATGTAACTTCTCAAAGTTTCCTTTCAAGTCATTTTTTTAAAATTAGGATGTAATGACCACACTCCATAACTTAAAATTTAAGTAATATCCTCAATATAATCTCTCCATCTCTACTGTGGCCTAAATTGTGCATATAGCCTGGAGAGCATACATTCACATATGTGGTAGGCAGAACAATGGTTCCCTAAAGACTTCTGCGTCCTAGTCCCCGGAACCTGTAAATAAATCACTATACGTGGCAAAGGGGAACGAATGAAGGTTGCAGATGGAATTAAGAGTGATAATCATGTGGCCTTAAAATGGACAGATTACCCTAAATTGTCCATGTGGATCCAGTGCAATCACCAGTGTCCTTAAAAGTAGAACAGGGGGCAGAAGAGGGAGAACCAGGAGACAGCAGCCTGAGAAGGAATCAGCCCGACGTTGCTGGACGTGAAGATGGAGGAAGGGGCCATAAGCCAAGGAATGCAGGCATCCTCTAGGAGCTAGACAAGGCAGGGAAACAAGTTTTGCTGGATCTTCCAGAAGCAGTACAGCCCTGCTGACACCTTGATTTTAGCCCAGTAATGCCCATTTCAGAATTCCAACTTCCAGAACTGTAAGAAAATAAATTTGTGTTGTCTTATGCCACTAAGTTTTTGACAATTTCTTATACAGCAACTAAAAAGTAATACAAGAGAGTTCTTGATTTACACATATGTATGTTTGCAGGTACACACATAAACACACTCACACCCCAAAGGCAGAGCCCACCAAGAACTAGAAAGTTGTTTGTTGACAGATACCTTCCAAAATATTAATTTAGTAAGAAAATGTCCCAACATTAAGAAGCCACCACTAGCATATGCTGACATAAGGAAAAAAAATTACAACAAATATAGTAAAGGCTTCACCCCATAAGAGCTCAAATAAATTAATGAAAAGAACATCGAGTTAATAAATGGGCAAAGAACTTCCGCAGATAATTCACAAAAGAAAAAAATGGCTAATAAAATATGAAAATGTTTCAGATAAAGTAAAACTATTGCAAAAATAAATAAATGAAGAGATGCCATTTGTTTATATTCTTGGCATGTATTTTTAAATGGAATAATCCTATGCCACTAAGAGTATGGCAAAGGGAGCATTGTCAGTCTCTGCTGTGGTAGGATAAGAGATGATACAAACTTTTTGAAAAACAATTCAATAATGTGTAAAAAAAAGTCATAAAAATATTTAATGCCACTTCTGCTATGATAATTCTACCTCTGCCAATCAGATCATCAAAAATACATAAAAAGTATTAATGTTCATCATAATATTATTTATAATTTGAAAACAACTTTCAATAATAAAATGTTGATTAAATACATTCAGTATGCTTAAATGGTGTAAATTTATGGGGCCATTAATAATTAAGCTTTTGAAGAATATTAACTTGGGTCATAATAGTATAACTATAAAATATCACAACTATGAGAAAAAAATTGAGAGAAAAGTTATTAGTTATTATTCAGAAAGTTATTAGTGATGGGTTTATGGACCATTTCTTTCTTCCATATATAACTGGTTTATTGAATGAGCTAGATTTGGCAGAATTTGATTCCCTTTGTAGCTATTAAACATTAAAATAGTTATATTATTAGTAATAATGAATACTAGTGCAAATTGCTCAAGAGTCAAAAAACAGTCAAAACTGCACATTCTGACTTTTAATCAAACACTTAGCTTAAACATAAACACATTGCATAACTGTACAAAAATATTTTCTTTCTTTATATCCTAATTCTATATGCTTTTTTCTATTTAAAATTTTTTTTACTTTTTAAATTTTTTTATTATAAACTAAGACACAAACGCACACATTAACCTAGGCTTACACAGGGCTAGACTCGCCAGTGTCACTCTCTTTCACTTCCCCATCTTATCCCATTGGATCTCCAGGGGCAATAACGCACACAGAGCTATCATCCATGGTAATAACGCCTTCTTCTGCAACACCTCCCGAAGGACCTGCCTGAGGCTGTCTTACTGTGTTTATATAAGTAGAAGGAGTACATTCCAAAATAACAATAAGAAGTATACTGTAGTAAATACATAAACCAGTAACATAGCTGTTTACTATCACTATCAAGTATTACCTACTATAAGTAATCGTGTGTGCTACACTTTTATAAAACTGGCGGTGCAGTAGGTTTGTTTACACCTGTATCACCACAAACACGTGAGGAATGCATTGTGCTACGAGGTCACAATGGCTATAGCATCAATGGGCGACAGGAATTTTTCAGCTCCATTATAATCTCATGGGACCACCATCACATACATAGTTTGTCGTTGACCAAAACATCATTATGTGGTGCATGACTGTACTAGTGTAGCCTGTGGGAGAGCAAGAGCTCCATAGTATCATGGGGTGAACAATGGCGCTTGTGTTGTGTGTATTGAGATGAATTATAATCTCTGTGCTGGGTTAAGTAGATTTACAGATTATATTACCAACTTTTATTAATAAGAAAACTAATGCTCACAAAATTTCAAGTGGATTAGATGGTTTCTTGAGAGAATCCATAGATTGAAGAGAAAACTAATTATGGACACACGTATGATTTTTTAAATAGTAGAGTTGACATGTATCCTTCTCCTTAGTACAAGCTCTACATCGGGTTCAATGCAAAATAAAAACAATGATGATCTAATCAAAGTGAAAAGACAATACCCCAAAAATTTGAAATTGTTAAGAGAGCTATTTGAAATAAGTGCTGCTTAAAATAATTACGTCCTGCTTTCAGGATACGTATTACAGTCAAGGTATAAAGACACAGAGTAGATGTATAAAGATCAAATTGATGATAGCAGTTTTCTCCCCAATATTAAAAGATTTGCTGACAAGAATAGATTGATATGAAATGTAACTTCTCAAAGTTTCCTTTCAAGTCATTTTTTTAAAATTAGGATGTAATGACCACACTCCATAACTTAAAATTTAAGTAATATCCTCAATATAATCTCTCCATCTCTACTGTGGCCTAAATTGTGCATATAGCCTGGAGAGCATACATTCACATATGTGGTAGGCAGAACAATGGTTCCCTAAAGACTTCTGCGTCCTAGTCCCCGGAACCTGTAAATAAATCACTATACGTGGCAAAGGGGAACGAATGAAGGTTGCAGATGGAATTAAGAGTGATAATCATGTGGCCTTAAAATGGACAGATTACCCTAAATTGTCCATGTGGATCCAGTGCAATCACCAGTGTCCTTAAAAGTAGAACAGGGGGCAGAAGAGGGAGAACCAGGAGACAGCAGCCTGAGAAGGAATCAGCCCGACGTTGCTGGACGTGAAGATGGAGGAAGGGGCCATAAGCCAAGGAATGCAGGCATCCTCTAGGAGCTAGACAAGGCAGGGAAACAAGTTTTGCTGGATCTTCCAGAAGCAGTACAGCCCTGCTGACACCTTGATTTTAGCCCAGTAATGCCCATTTCAGAATTCCAACTTCCAGAACTGTAAGAAAATAAATTTGTGTTGTCTTATGCCACTAAGTTTTTGACAATTTCTTATACAGCAACTAAAAAGTAATACAAGAGAGTTCTTGATTTACACATATGTATGTTTGCAGGTACACACATAAACACACTCACACCCCAAAGGCAGAGCCCACCAAGAACTAGAAAGTTGTTTGTTGACAGATACCTTCCAAAATATTAATTTAGTAAGAAAATGTCCCAACATTAAGAAGCCACCACTAGCATATGCTGACATAAGGAAAAAAAATTACAACAAATATAGTAAAGGCTTCACCCCATAAGAGCTCAAATAAATTAATGAAAAGAACATCGAGTTAATAAATGGGCAAAGAACTTCCGCAGATAATTCACAAAAGAAAAAAATGGCTAATAAAATATGAAAATGTTTCAGATAAAGTAAAACTATTGCAAAAA